ATGTGCTAAAACCTTTGGCTAAATCTGTCTCCTACAGTACATATTTTTTGGTCCTGTTGAATTTTTTATAAATGTTCCATCAATAACTATTGTCAACCCTGTTACTTGTATAAAATTCTAATATAATTGTAAAAATTATAAAAAAAAAGACTATTGTATAATCAACTTATTTTCTATGTTAAGTAAAAGTTATACACCGTAAGAAACTGGGGAATTATTATTTCCTTTTCATAACCTTTTCTTAGAAGATGCGGTGAAAATGTCAATTGTATATCAGCATATTTATCCATGAAAAAAAAAGTGAATTCCTTAATATTCTCATTTTAAAACCACACTTAATGTAACAAGGGAGATTTTATCTTTTATGATATAACAGATTTGTTCTAAATATGGATTTTAAAACTTTTCAAACAGTATCTCATATGTCAGTAACAGGGTTGATGAAACAATATTGATCATTTGTAAAAATTCATTTAAAAATAAGATTTGAGATCTGAGATAGCACAGGACTTCTTTCTCAGAGGTAAGGATCTATGAATCCAAATAGGGGCTTTAAGTATTTTAAAACAGTAAAAATCGAACATTACTTTACACTTTTATTCTGCGGTGATTTTGCGGGAGGAGTTGTCTTTGTGATATACCTGGCCAGTAACACATGGCAAACCTTTGGCCCAAACCAACTCCAGTCTAACAGAATATACAAGATGTTTTCTGACTTCTTTAAATGACAGAACTTAATGCAAAACAAACTTACAATCTTCCCTTTACTGTTGATCTAGTCAAATTGGTGAACACAACCTGTTTTTTAGTTTTTGTATTTTACATTTTAAATTGAAACAGGAATTATATTCACATACCCAGAGCGACACAATACAACTGTCAAATTTATCTATTACTGTACTTAAAATTACTCATTCACTGTGTCACCAGAAGACTTTAGATAATAAACAGAAAATTAGGGAAATAGGCTACATTTGCCTGTTAAGTACACTCACCTAAAGGATTATTAGGAACACCATACTAATACGGTGTTTGGCCCCCTTTCGCCTTCAGAACTGCCTTAATTCCACGTGGCATTGATTCAACAAGGGAAAGCATTCTTTAGAAATGTTGGCCCATATTGATAGGATAGCATCTTGCAGTTGATGGAGATTTGTGGGATGCACATCCAG